ACAAATCTTATATCAGACTATTCACTGATAAGACAGGATTCCCCTGCTACTCTTATCAGTGGCTTGCCCTCAATAAGGTGGGTGTCCAAGGGTCCCTGCACTTACCACTGACCAAGCGTAAGGCTCATTTGAAGTTAAGGCAGACTTCCCTGCTATTCTTACCTCCACACAAGTCTTACCTATGGCTCAAGTCATCGCCTTTGATGGCATTCGAGCCCTGAATTGTTGTTAGTTTGGAAACTTATTCCTGGATCAGATGAATAATGAGCAATGATCAGTGGGATTCATGACAGTTAATTATTGCAACTCAAACCAAGGTTTCCATCATCTGTTTGGATGGGACATAGAGAGAATGATCGCGAGAGGTGTGATAGCCTGTATCCATACCTCCGATTAATGCCCATAGCCAGATTGTTGTATCCAGAAGCAATCAGTTTCACACTCAGCCACCCTTTTTCTCTACTCGCAATCCACGACTTTAAGAGTTTTGATTATGAGTCCCTAACCCTTATGATCATTGTCCTAACGATAACCTGTATGAGACAGCATCTTGGTCGAAGCAACGTACCTTGTCATTCCCTGCCTCTAGAGTTCCGCCTGAACTCCGGCAGAGCTCCCGCAATCGCCTTGTTATATGGATCAATTGAGGAATGAGAGTCCTTTGTGTATGAACACTGATCTCAGTAAGCCATCGGAAAATACGACGTCTACTCATGTTGTGTGAAGATGGTTGCGTGCTTATGTGGGGAGTAGGCATGGGAAAACGAAAGAGGATGAAGGATGTAAGAGCCATCATACTTGTTGGCGCCACTCCTTCACTCCGTTGCCTCGCACCCCTGTCCGATTCTGATTCATATCCTAGCATGTGATCTCAAATGATATAAATAATAATAATAATAAATAAATAATAACAATAATAATAATAATAATAATAATAATAATAAACATAATAATAATAATAATAATAATAGTAATAAATAACAAGGAACATGAGAGTGAAATAATATCCAAACCCGGGCTGTGAGATCGCATAGGTGTCTGAGTAGGTATATACCAGCAACAAACATCATGGTACTGAGCCTTCATCCAAACTGAGCAATATAATAGAGTAATGAGTCAATGCTCAAGCCCTCAGGCCTATACCAACTCACTATTCATGGTCGCTCTTCTATGTCTGACGCCTAATGCCCGATTTATACATCTTGCCTACCCTCCTATACTTGCACTCACGCAACATGCCTACTGCGATAGTGAAGTCCCATCTATATGATGTCACTAGTAGTGCAGACTGCAATTCTAAGCCGGTACGCTTTCTCTTCCCTCTTTTCTTTATTTTCTCTCTCTCGGACTGTCTCACTCTTGGTGTGTACGTGTCTTTCTCGGCATATTGTTGCGTCCGTCACGGGCTGTGTCTCTTTGCGTATGTCATAGTCGGTGTCCCATGTATGCGTGACCATGGCGAATCTGTGGTGCAATGCTATGCGGTCAGCGGCACCGGACCAGTCAGCCCCAGTCCAGCCCAGCAAGTACCCTCTGGGACTGTGTATACCGTGGCCAGGGAAACAGGACAGACCAATGAGTTGCAGAAGTATAAATCTAGAGGCTATGCACAACCATTCACTCATTCCTACGGAGCCATGAGGAAGTGCTGCTACAGTGCCTTGCCGGTTGGTTGTCTTGCCATTTGTATGCATGAAAAGTGTGGACATGCGAGTCTGATAATATAATAATAATAATAATAAATAATAATAATAATATAATAATAGTAAAAAAAAAAAAAAATGTAAGGGTCATGAA